TGCGTCCCCACACCTGCCTCCACCTGCGTCCCCACACCTGCCACCACCTGCGTCCCCACACCTGCCACCACCTGCGTCCCCACACCTGCCACCACCTGCGTCCCCACACCTGCCACCACCTGCGTCCCCACATCTGCCACCACCTGCGTCCCCACACTTGCCACCACCTGCGTCCCCACACCTGCCACCACCTGCGTCCCCACACCTGCCACCACCTGCGTCCCCACACTTGCCTCCACCTGCGTCCCCACACCTGCCTCCACCTGCGTCCCCACACCTGTCACCACCTGCGTCCCAACACCTGCCACCACCTGCGTCCCCACACCTGCCACCACCTGCGTCCCCACACCTGCCACCACCTGCGTCCCCACACCTGCCACCACCTGCGTCGCCCACACCTGCGTCCCCCACACCTGCCACCACCTGCGTCCCCCACACCTGCGTCCCCCACACCTGCCACCACCTGCGCCCCCCACACCTGCCACCACCTGCGTCCCCACACCTGCCACCACCTGCGTCCCCCACACCTGCCACCACCTGCGTCCCCACACCTGCCACCACCTGCGTTCATCTGCTCCAAAGACTGGATGGAAGAGGATCAGGATGAGAGAGGATGAAAATGGAAGGTAGACGAGGGCAGGGCCAGGCTGGCCATCTGGGCCAGGTCCCGCCCACCCAATACAAACACCAACAACAGTTTGAAGGAACATGCCCGCACTGTCTTCACAGACGCGGCGATGAATTCTCAGGTAAAATTGGCAAGTTGTAAACACCATGTTTCCGCCCCACTTCCCTCCCCCCCCACCCACACACACAAGGCAGAAACAAATGTTTCTTTCAGCCTAAAGATCTGTTCACCTAGCAGTAAATAGGTACTTGGGAATTAGACAGCTGCTACGGGGCTGCTTCCTGGGAATGTGTGTTTAGAGAGAAATGTATGTAGTAGACATAATAGAGGAAAAATAAAATGGTTAGAAAGGCGGGGTCCAAGAGCTAATAGCTCGATTCTACAAATACAAATAGTAAATACACACACACACACACACACACACACACACACACACACACACACACACACACACACACACACACACACACACACACACACACCCACACCCACACCCACACACACACACACACACACACACACACACACACCACAGGGGCCTCGTAGTCTGGTGGATAGCGCGCAGGATTCGTAATTCTGTGGCGCGGGTTCGATTCCCGCACGAGGCAGAAACAAATGGGCAAAAGTTTCTTTCACCCTGAATGCCCCTGTTACCTAGCAGTAAATAGGTACCTGGGAGTTAGTCAGCTGTCACGGGCTGCTTCCTGGGGTGTGTGTGTGTGTGGTGTGGAAAAAAAAAAAAAAAAAAAAAAAAAAAAAAAAAAAAAGTTAGTAAACAGTTGATTGACAGTTGAGAGGCGGGCCGAAAGAGCAAAGCTCAACCCCCGTAAAAACACAACTAGTAAACACACACACACACCAGATAAAGAGACTATCAAAGCAAAACATGGCTACTCAGCGACACAGGACCACTCCCTCTGGCCCCAAACCACTCCCTCTGGCCCCAAACCACTCCCTCTGGCCCCAAACCACTCCCTCTGGCCCCAAACCACTCCCCTCTGGCCCCAAACCACTCCCCTCTGGCCCCAAACCACTCCCCTCTGGCCCCAAACCACTCCCCTCTGGCCCCAAACCACTCCCCCTCTGGCCCCAAACCACTTCCCTCTGGCCCCAAACCACTCCCCTCTGGCCCCAAACCACTCCCCTCTGGCCCCAAACCACTCCCCTCTGGCCCCAAACCACTCCCCTCTGGCCCCAAACCACTCCCTCTGGTCCCAAACCACTCCCCTCTGGCCCCAAACCACTCCCCTCTGGCCCCAAACCACTCCCCTCTGGCCCCAAACCACTCCCCTCTGGCCCGAAACCACTCCCCTCTGGCCCCAAACCACTCCCCTCTGGCCCCAAACCACTCCCCTCTGGCCCCAAACCACTCCCTCTGGCCCCAAACCACTCCCTCTGGCCCCAAACCACTCCCTCTGGCCCTAAACCACTCCCTCTGGCCCAAACCACTCCCTCTGGCCCCAAACCACTCCCTCTGTCCCCAAACCACTCCCTCTGGCCCCAAACCACTCCTTCTCTGGCCCCAAATCACTCCCTCTGGCCCCAAACCACTCCCTCTGGCCCCAAACCACTCCCTCTGGCCCCAAACCACTCCCTCTTGCCCCAAACCACTCCCTCTGGCCCCAAACCACTCCCTCTGGCCCCAAACCACTCCCTCTGGCCCCAAACCACTCCCTCTCTGGCCCCAAATCACTCCATCTGGCCCCAAACCACTCCCTCTGGCCCCAAACCACTCCCTCTGGCCCCAAACCACTCCCTCTGGCCCCAAACCACTCCCTCTGGCCCCAAACCACTCCCTCTGGCCCCAAACCACTCCCCTCTGGCCCCAAACCACTCCCCTCTGGCCCCAAACCACTCCCCTCTGGCCCCAAACCACTCCCTCTGGTCCCAAACCACTCCCTCTAGCCCCAAACCACTCCCTCTGGCCCCAAACCACTCCCTCTGGCCCCAAACCACTCCCTCTAGCCCCAAACCACTCCCTCTGGCCCCAAACCACTCCCTCTGGCCCCAAATCACTCCCTCTGACCCCAAACCACTCCCTCTGGCCCCAAACCACTCCCTCTGGCCCCAAACCACTCCCTCTGGCCCTAAACCACTCCCTCTGGCCCCAAACCACTCCCTCTGGCCCCAAACCACTCCCTCTGTCCCCAAACCACTCCCTCTGGCCCCAAACCACTCCCTCTCTGGCCCCAAATCACTCCCTCTGGCCCCAAACCACTCCCTCTGGCCCCAAACCACTCCCTCTGGCCCCAAACCACTTCCTCTGGCCCCAAACCACTCCCTCTGGCCCCAAACCACTCCCTCTGGCCCCAAACCACTCCCTCTGGCCCCAAACCACTCCCTCTGGCCCCAAACCACTCCCTCTGGCCCCAAACCACTCCCTTCTGGCCCCAAACCACTCCCCTCTGGCCCCAAACCACTCCCCTCTGGCCCCAAACCACTCCCTCTGGCCCCAAACCACTCCCCTCTGGCCCCAAACCACTCCCCTCTGGTCCCAAACCACTCCCCTCTGGCCCCAAACCACTCCCCTCTGGCCCCAAACCACTCCCTCTGGCCCCAAACCACTCCCTCTGGCCCCAAACCACTCCCTCTGGCCCCAAACCACTCCCTCTGGCCCCAAACCACTCCCCTCTGGCCCCAAACCACTCCCTCTGTCCCCAAACCACTCCCCTCTGGCCCCAAACCACTCCCTCTGGCCCCAAACCACTCCCCTCTGGCCCCAAACCACTCCCTCTGGCCCCAAACCACTCCCTTCTGGCCCCAAACCACTCCCCTCTGGCCCCAAACCACTCCCCTCTGGCCCCAAACCACTCCCCTCTGGCCCCAAACCACTCCCCTCTGGCCCCAAACCACTCCCTTCTGGCCCCAAACCACTCCCCTCTGGCCCCAAACCACTCCCCTCTGGCCCCAAACCACTCCCTCTGGCCCCAAACCACTCCCTCTGGCCCCAAACCTCTCCCCTCTGGCCCCAAACCACTCCCTCTGGCCCCAAACCACTCCCCTCTGGCCCCAAACCACTCCCTCTGGCCCCAAACCACACCCTCTGGCCCCAAACCACACCCTCCATCAGTAACCATCACGGAGTCACCAGCATTAGGACCAAAACAGTCTATAAGCGTCCACGTCTGGTGAACAAACAGACGAGAGCGGACTTCCTGCGGCGTGTCACGAACGAGCAAATCTTATCTTGTTTGCAAGTCTTAGACAAACGAGAGGAGGCGGCCTTTGTTTGTGGAGGCTGCCCAAACACCCCGCCAGCTGTGTACAAGGTAGAGGGTGCACGGGCGATGGGTGTACAGGTAGAGGTGTACAGCTTGTGGGTGTTCAGGGAGAGGGTGTATAGGTGAGGGTGTGCAGTTGGCTGTATGCAGGTAGTGGGGTGTACAGCAAGTGAGTGTACATATAGAGGGGTGTACTTGTGGTGTACAATTGGAGGGTGTACAGGTGATGTACAAGTAGATAGTTTTAAATTAAGGGACCAAGTATTGGAGTGAGATAAGAGGGACAGTTAAGCAGACGAGGAGTCACAATAACGTGGCTGAAATATGTTGACCAAACCACACATTAGATAGTGAAGGGATGACGACGTTTCGGTCCGCCCTGGACCATTCTCAAGTCGATTGTCTTGAGAATCCACACCACCACACACCTCACCACCACCACCATCACCACCACCACACACCTCACCACCACCACCACCACCACCACCTCACCACCACCACACATCTCACCACCACCACCACCACCACCACCACCATCACCACCATCACCACCACCACACACCTCACCACCACCACCATCACCTCACCACCAGTCTTTTAGAATAATATTATGGCAGGCGTCTCAGGGGACCCTGGGGGTGGGGGGGGGGACCATCATCTTAACTTTCTCCTTGAATGAACCACCTCTGGCCCCCTGCTGCATGACTCGGTCTCCTTTCATATATGTTATCATTTTATATGATATATATAATAGAATGCATGTGTTGAACACGCATTTTGTTATTGGTTCTCTGCACAAAATATATATATATATATATATATATATATATATATATATATATATATATATATATATATATATATATATATATATATATATATATATATTTTAATTATTTTGTATTGTGCGAGTTTTGTCGGTAGACTCTGTGAGTACTCACCGCCGCCCCCGACACGGCATAAGTCCCGCCCTCACCTGGTTAACGGACCAATCATCGAGACCGTTACATCGCCAACTGTAGGAATATCAGTCCGCGAGCCAATCACCGTGCGTATTTTGGGTCCCTGGGAGTAATATCGCCGCGGGACATGTCGCAGGCGTATAAAGCACGCGACCTTCGGAAGTCACTACAACTGACTACCTGAGCAGCATGGAAAGCTCACCTGTGCTCGCCACCCACCTCCACGCCCGCACTCTGGGGTCTGCCTTCATTCCGTTGTCTCGAGTGCCACCTCCCTTCCCCTTGTTCCAGTCACTACCGTTCCTGCCATCAATGGGCGCCACGAGTGTGAAGCAGCCGACGGCGCCCCTGGGAATGGACCCCAGATTGATGGGGATGCTGCAGAACTACGGGTCCCTGGGTCAGCTGCCGTGGGCGGCTCTGGGCGCCGGCGACCTGGCACTCAACCGTCTCCTGTTGACTCCTGGGGGACGCCTCAGCCGACCCAAGAAGCGATACATCTGTAAGTATTGTCAACGGGAGTTTACCAAGAGCTACAACCTGCTGATCCACGAGAGAACACACACGGACGAGCGGCCCTTCCCTTGCGACATCTGCGGCAAGGCCTTCAGGAGACAAGACCACCTCCGCGACCACAAGTACATCCACAGCAAGGACAAGCCCTTCAAGTGTGAAGTGTGTGGCAAGGGCTTCTGCCAGGCGCGCACGCTGGCCGTCCACAAGGCCCAGCACGCCCACGACGCGCCACCCACGCACATTTCTCCCACAATTCAACGGCATGTTTTCTCTCCTGCTTCTTGTGACGAAGAATACAACAACGTCGTCCGGTGTGACGATGACGACGTGATGCAGACGGCAACTGAGGAGCTCACTGACCCTCTCGTCTCCTCGCCTCCTAAGAGACGCGGCTTCTCCATCGCTGATATCATGAGCAGATAGATGAGAGTGCCTCTACTCGGCTACGCTTCGAGGCACTCAGTACCACCCAGTGCCTAGAGTGCCGCTCATTGTAAATAACTGTATATTCTGTACAGAAATATATTTTATATACTCCTAATAAATTATTTTAATAATGTTCGTTTCTTGACTTTGAACCCCCGAAGCAGTAGAATTGAGCCTCTTATTACTGACTACATATTTTCAATAAATACTCAAAACACAAAATACAAAACAATATTCCCACAATATTATAACTTGATTGCCAACCTTGACAGGAAGACAGGACGATCACGCCTGTCAAGGCAAAACAACGCCACTAAGAAAAATAAGGTAATATGGCTCCTTGGCTCTAAAATTAAGAATAAATTAACCTAAAAGCCGGGTCTCAAAGTGCCATACCTGACTGCTGTTATCGAGAGCAGAGTGCCAGTTCTGACAAGGCACTAACGCTTGCTTGAGTGCCAGGCAAATCTATGAGCATCATGGCGCATGTCAGATGTGTTCAAGAGTCCCCCAGGCATGCTGTACTAAACAGAGTGAACATCGCCACCTTATCTTGAGGTTATCTTGAGATGATTTCGGGGCTTAGCGTCCCCGCGGCCCGGTCCTCGACCAAGCCTACATTTTATTACTCACCCCCAGGAAGCAGCCCGTAGTGGCTGTCTAACTCCCAGGTGCCTATTTACTACTAGGTGAACAAGTGCATCAGGGTGAAAGAAATTCTGCCCATTTGTTTCCGCCTCCGCCGGAACCTTAGGACTACGAATACCGACTACTGTCCACTCAGCCGTCAGGTCTTTTGTCAAAAGTTACTCTGGAAGACGCCAGTGTTTCGCCGTCCTTAGCTACGTGTTTTTGTTCCGTCACTAGTAACTACTGATACTTATTGACAGTGATGGTGAGTGATTTTGATGATTAATATTGACTGATGATGACAATTTGCAAGGATAACGAAACGGATGATGATTGATGTGGACAATTGTTCATAATTAACTATTATGAGGTATTTCCAGGGTGTGTAGGGTACTAATAGAGTGAATAATATGACCGAATAATATTGCCTCAGCTCACGTGTTGGTAACAAGCAGATTATCTCAGAAGATTACCACAACATACGACGTTGTTGCCTTCTCCCAGACAATCTCCTGTCACCTTCAACTGAGAATCTTACGTAGACTTAACAGATAATATCTGCGTACACTTAACTGAGAATCTTACACAGACTGAACTGAGAATCTTACACAGACTGAACTGAAAATCTTACACAGACTGAACTGAGAATTTTCCACAGACTGAACTGAGAATTTTGCACAGACTGAACTGAGAATCTTACACAGACTGAACTGAGAATCTTACACAGACTGAACTGAGAACTTGGCACAGATTCACCACACGGTTTTCATCATAAATCGTACACGGAACTTTAGGAAGTAAAGAGCATCACAAGGCTCGTTGATCTCTGTATGGTGTGTAAACATGAGAGTATTGATGATGATTGATGCTATTTATAATGATGGTAGTGGTGAATGATGATTAATGAAGATCAATGATAGTGATGAATGATGATAAATGCTAATACTCACAATGGCATTGATAATACTGGATACGACATTAGTAATAATTATTATTAATATCATTCTAATTATTCTTACTGTTGCCTAAATTATAACAAAACAATTTGCAGGAATATTCCTGCGCGGACTCTAAGCTACTCTGACTGGTCCCCCTAAAGTGTTACTCATCTTTGTCTTACCTAGACGGTAGATGAGTGTTGATGAACCGTGTGACTCGTTACTCGTAATCATCAGTAAGTTTACGTCGAGAGTGCTTAACAACTTCTTCTGCGTTCTCATGTCTCGGTTGAAGTCTAGATTGGTCTGTAACTGTGCACTGTGTTAGATCATGTTCCAGTGGTGTGTGTGGTCTGTAACTGTGCACTGTGCTAGATCATGTTCCAGTGGTGTGTGTGGTCTGTAACTGTGCACTGTGCTAGATCATGTTCCAGTGGTGTGTGTGGTCTGTAACTGTGCACTGTGTTAGATCATGTTCCAGTGGTGTGTGTGTGGTCTGTAACTGTGCAGCACTGTGTTATATCATGTTCCAGTGGTGTGTGTGATCTGTAACTGTGCACTGTGTTAGATCATGTTCCAGTGGTGTGTAACTGTGCACTGTGTTAGATCATGTTCCGTGCTGACATGTCCTCTCATCGTCTGGGACCTGTAAGCCTGCTCCCATGCACGTGGGTGTCCCAGCGTGATGCCGAGTGCATGCACTCTTCTACTCGTCTCTTGTTCATCACAATATTTTCTACAAGCATGAATAACAATTATCATTATCTGTATTTATATTAATATGTATATTGTTCTTTATGTCAGAGAATTTAGTTATATTAATATTATTTTAATAATCATGCCCATTAAAATGTATTTATATAATTATTAAGAATATAAAATTATATTTATTAAGATTATTTATTATTATTATTAATTGGCGGTGATGGGTTTATCATCAATGTAATTAATATAATTATGATAATTATTACTGTGTGAGACCTTAACCCTTAGGAGCTCCTTCTCCCTCCCTAGCCTCCTTCCTTACTACCCCTTTCCCTTCAGCCCCTACCCCAAGCCCCTTCCCCTACCCTCTCTCCCTCCTCCATCATTCCCCCCCCCCCACCTCCCCCCTGTCCCTTCACCCCCCCCCCCTCCCGGACGAGGTCATCCTCCTGTCATTGACCTCTGGCGACCTGACCTCGCCCGCTGACCTACCTGATGCCCCTCAGTCCTCGCCCCATTAACGGCATCTCCAGCTGGTAACTAAGCTGGAGGGATAATGGGCGCGTGGCCCTAAATGGGTGCTCAGCGCATTTGATAGACACGAATAATGGGAACCCAGGTCTGTGCTGTCCAAGTTGGGTTCTTTATGGGTCGGAATGGAGTGACGTGGGTCCTCATGGGGTCCAAATAAGAAATGTAATGGGTCCTTATGGAGCACTCAGACGCGGGACGGGTCTTTATGGGGCACTCAGGGTGGCACTGGTATGCATGGGACTTCAGGACGGGAAAGAACGCCTTCTGAGACAGGAAGCAAGCGGGACAGATAGAAGAGAGTGGGAAGGAACGGGAACGAGGACGGCGGAGGGTGTGTGTTACGGAACACAGGGAGCAGGGCAGCGTGGTTACGGAACACAGGGAGCAGGGCAGTGTGGTTACGGAACACAGGGAGCAGGGCAGCGTGGTTACGGAACACAGGGAGCAGGGCAGCGTGGTTACGGAACACAGGGAGCAGGGCAGCGTGGTTACGGAACACAGGGAGCAGGGCAGCGTGGTTACGGAACACAAGGAGCAGGGCAGCGTGGTTACGGAACACAGGGAGCAGGGCAGCGTGGTTACGGAACACAGGGAGCAGGGCAGCGTGGTTACGGAACACAGGGAGCAGGGCAGCGTGGTTACGGAACACAAGGAGCAGGGCAGCGTGGTTACGGAACACAGGGAGCAGGGCAGCGTGGTTACGGAACACAGGGAGCAGGGCAGCGTGGTTACGGAACACAGGGAGCAGGGCAGCGTGGTTACGGAACACAGGGAGCAGGGCAGCGTGGTTACGGAACACAGGGAGCAGGGCAGCGTGGTTACGGAACACAGGGAGCAGGGCAGCGTGGTTACGGAACACAGGGAGCAGGGCAGCGTGGTTACGGAACACAGGGAGCATGGCAGCGTGGTTACGGAACACAGGGAGCAGGGCAGCGTGGTTACGGAACACAGGGAGCAGGGCAGCGTGGTTACGGAACACAGGGAGCAGGGCAGCGTGGTTACGGAACACAGGGAGCAGGGCAGCGTGGTGTCTGCAAGGCCCAGAAAACGATGAGTAGGAGGAAGCATGTGATCTGCTCAGAGTGTATAATAACAGTGGGGCCGGGAGTACAGAGTAGACGACTCTCTGGTTTATTGTCATTAACAAGAACGTAAGGGTAGGTCTAAGGTAGGGGGATGAGGGGAAGGGAAAAGGGAAGGACATGAAGGCTTGGGGGGCTAAGGTAGGGGGGAAAGGGAGGCTTTAACAAGGTTTTAGGCAGTTAAAATAAAGGGGAAAAGGGAGGGGTAAGAACTAGGGGAAACAGGAAGGAACAAGAAGAATAGGGGGAGTGTATTTTTTTGAGGTAAGGGGGTAATGAGACGGGGAAATAAAGATGACGGAGATACACAGGTGAAGGAATAAGTTTAAAAATGAGAAACATAGTATGAGTTATGATAGGAGGCGGACTGTCCGCCTTGCTGACACCATGTGTGTGGGTGTTGGCAGCTAAGCTAAGCTGGCTCTCTCTTGTCAGGGAGAGGTTCTTCACGTGAATGGAGCTGTGAGGGGGGTTCTTCACGTGTATATCAGCATACATATATAGATAATGTCCATCTGTTTCCTTCCTTTGTTTCTCCGTCTCTTGTGAGAGGGGGGGGGGAGGGGTATGGTCATTTACCTCCCCTACCTCCACAAACACATACCTTGCAAACAGTCTTCTCCTCGCCTCTGCCCCCTCCAAAAAAATCGGGTTCTGTTTCAAGCGTAGGCTAGATGTACATGTGTTTGGGTGGATATAAGAAGGAGCTGCGTCGTGTGGACCAATAGTCCTCCTACTGTTTTCCTGCATTCATATGTTGTTATGTTCTTATGTTATGTTCTTATGTCAATCAATCAATCATAACTTTATTTATAACATGTTAATTGTTTACATTTATAGTTGGGTGACTTGACACAAATTTACAGTCAATTGATTTACCTTAGAGAAAGTCATGAAAATAATTTCTATAATAGCATAAGAAAATTATACAAGTGGGGTCGTTTGAGGAAATAATATATCCCCAAACGCTTTACAGGAGTCTCTCTCTCTGCTTAGTCATTTTAATCCGGGATCAATATAAAAGAAATCCTGTGAGTCAAAGAGAACTACGGCACGTTTAGCAGGATGGAACTTTAGGTTGTATTCTGCACTCTATATAACTCTCTCTTCACATATTCCCGTCAAGGTTTCATAGCGTCTTTGGTCGGTGCGAGTAGAATGGTCTATTATTAATATTATTATTAATTAACATCCTTATTGACAAAATTAATTACAATTTTGCCTCATCTGAGGATTTCGATT